TACCTCATCTTTTTGCTATTTCTCTGGAAGTCTTACAGGGTAACAGTCACCGTTTTAGCAGCATGAATTTGTTTTAGAAGCTGAAAAGGCACACCATTCAATCTCAGAAAATAAAATAACCTCAGTAGGCTTTCGCTGGAATTATTAACCTAAGGGAGAAATTACTTTTGCTGAATTGCATTTTATTATACTGTCTGAAGTATTGAAGAAATATTACTACAATATCTTTTATGCCAGTCCTAAGTATGTTAGCTTAGAAGTAAATCTCGATGATTTTGTGAATGTGTTCTCTTGGAAATTCAGCCAAAGCTATGTTGGTCTGGAAGCTGAAGGCTTTTGTTTTTTGGTATAGGATCTTCAGTTTCTGAAATATTTGGTAAATCCAAACTACCTAATCCTTTCATAAGCCCATTTAATATATAATCGTGTGACAAAAACACTCAGTTTTTCTAACTGCACTAGCTTTCCTGTAGATACCAGAATCTGAATTTACTAGATATTTTGATATAATGCAGTTAAAATATTGATCATAAATCTACAGAGAGCAATTGGCAATAGTGGAGTACTACAATATATGCTAATACAGTCCCCTCCATAGAACATACAGCAGAGGCTTTTTGATGTGCAGTAACTGGACAGAATATCATTTATTCCTGTAATTCAACATAAAATATGAAATAACTTCTTGGCTGGGTCCCCAGGACAAGGCAAAAGTGCTAATTTTATTCTCAAGTGGGTAAATAAGTTTCTTTTCTTAAGTTTTACAGTCCAGCTGAAATCAAAATTTTGAGAATGACATAGCAAACTCTGGGCTGAGTTTCTGCTGGCAAAAGAATAAAATGTAATAAGCATAGGAAGACACAATCATCCTTTCTCACTGCAGCCCCCATTTACACCTAAATATAATGTAGGGGGCAGGTCGAGAAATCTAGAACTAGTGTTCAGAGATACAGATACAAAGGGGAAAAGAAATTCAATACACTACTCATTGATGAAAACTAGTAGCTTGCATCCACTCAATTGCACAAGTGATAGTATATGCATACACTAGCAGATCATGTTGTGAAGTGCAATATACAGTGCATGCCAGTTTATTTTATTTATTTATTTATAACATTTTTACCACACTCTTCTCACCCCCGCAGGGGGACTCAAAGCGGCTAACAATGGCAACGATTCGATGCCGCAATAATTACAATTATAATAACAAGATAAAAACATGCAATACAATAAATTAAAACAACATTAGTTAAACAATCATAAAACCTTTTCCATTACAACAATCATGGTCAGTTGTTTCTGTATTCCTTTTTGGATAAGTTTGTGTATATGTACTGATTAAAAAAAATGAAAAAACAAAGATGTTGCCTCACAGTTGCACAGGAGAAAACTATGTTGAATTCCGTCTGCTTGTTCATGGGGTAGTGAGGTGGACAACCTCCAAGAGTTTGGAGGAGGGGGTAATGTCACACTTTATGTGATCCTGGAAGACCCCACACACAAATCTATTTTCATCATCACTAGCACACCCAGACTCTAGGATCTAGTTCATTCCAAAATCATTGGAAAGAGTTTCTATTGGCTACTTCATTTGTTTCAGCACCTCGTCTATATCAGGTGCTGCATGCTGTATTTCAGAAAAAGAAGCTGTCTAAACCACCTCTTTCACAAGCTTAATGAAGATACACATTTGTAAATAATTGAACAGTGGACATGCTATCCTGGGGAGGATAGAATATTTCAGTAAGCAAAGAAAAAGGAGTTCATATGCCATGTTTGAGAGTTCTTACATTCTTGCTTAAGGAAAAAAGAGGCCTTCACATCTGAATGTACTAGTAATTGTTACTCCTAAGTAATCTTGATTGATGGTGCCCTTTCCTGATTGAAAGGTAATTTTGGATCTTGAAGAAGAGAGACAGCGACATGCCCAAGATACTGCTGAGGGAGATGATGTCACATACATGCTGGAAAAGGAGAGAGAGAGACTCACACAACAGGTTGGCTTTCTCACTACTTAATTAGATCTCAATAGAAATTATTAATTATTGTTTGGAAGCCTTCTGTGGGTGGCTACTTTTGGTATCTTTATCTTGAGAGTTTACTCATCCTGTGAACAAGGAACTAGATTTGCTCCAGTATTTTTCAATTCATTTCAAAGAAGATCTTGTTCTGTATTCAAAGTGCAAAGTGACTTGGTGTAAGAACATTTGGGAATATAAAATGGCATTTATGAAAGATCATGGTTATACCATATGGGTTTGTTTGTTGCATATATTCTTCCTGTCCATGTACCAGTGTACATGGCAAGGAACCTGAGAGTTTTAAAAAAGCAATACATCCACATTATGTTCACTTTATAGTTATTACCTGTACTTAACCAGGCAGGTTACAGCCATCAAACTACACTGCTGCTATCAACTGCATTGGTAACAGATGCACTTGGTTACCAGTTTGTTTCCTGGCACCATTTTTAATGTTGGTTATAACCTTTAAAGTTTTGTATGGCTCGTGTCCAAGCACTGGAAAATCATATATACCTGTTCAAGTCTGGGGCTTGCACTCATCAGAAGAAGCCCTTTTCTCAGCCCCAAAACTACCACAAGTCTGGTTGGTGGGGATGTGAGATAGATGCCCTTAAACTCTGGAATTCCCTTCTAAGGAAGGCCAGAATGACTTTCATTGCTGCCTTAGGGTTGTCTGGCAAAAAATATTTTTATCTCAATAGGACTTTAAAGTAGTAAGTTTTGAAATAACATTGCCAAGTTAATTTTTTATAATATTTTAATTGCATTTTATCCTTTTAAGTGTTGGTTGGGATTGTTTCAGTACTCTGAATGTTTAAATGATATTTTTTGTATATTTGTAGTTGCCTTGTTTTTTTGTTTGTTTTGTTTGTTTGTTTGTTTTTTAAAGTAAGATGCCTCAAGTTATAATTTTGGGAGAAAGGCAGAATATCAATAATAACAACAGCAACTGATAATTTTGCTTTATTTTATATATGTTATGGTGGTTCATAAATGCATTGATCCACACATCCATTCTCTATTAATTTGGAGCGTTTTCTGGTTTTGTGTGGTATGTGTTAAACAAGTTGGCTTTTTTTTTTCAAGCTCCTTTGATTTGTTTTCTAGCTGGAATTTGAGAAGTCCCAGGTGAAGAAGGTTGAGAGAGAGCAGAAAAAGCTATCCAGTCAGTTGGAAGAGGAACGTGCCCACCACAAGCAACTATCTTCCATGCTTGTGTTGGAGTGTAAGAAAGCCACAGCCAAGGCTGCAGAGGAAGGACAAAAGGTCGGAGAACTAAACATGAAGCTGGAGAAGGAAAGAAGCAAAGTGAACCAGTTGGAGGAAGAGCTGGCAGCCAAGAAGAAGAGGGGCTTGCAGATGGAGGCGCAAGTAGAGAAACAATTGTCTGAGTTTGATATTGAACGAGAGCAGCTGAAGGCCAAATTAAACCGCGAAGAGAATCGCACAAAAGCCCTGAAGGAGGAAGTCGAAAACCTGAAGAAAATACTTAAAGAATTAGAGGCTTCTTACAAAGTTGCCAACAACAAGGTTGAGCTCACACAACCCAATGTCTCAGTGTCAATTGCAGCTGGCACAGAGGACTGTGGTGGTAGGTCAGTAGCTTGCCAGACAGAAAGTTCCCTGGCTGAGAACACCTTCCAGGGCAGTACTGTTAGACTGGCACACATGTTGGCAGCCAACTGTGTCACAGCTCCCCATCCTTATGCCAAGGTCAATGGGCACTGTGATGCTGATATACAAGCAGATGTAGAGGCAACTCAGCCTAAAATGGAAAACCTGCAGAAGAGTAAGCCCCCTGGATCAGCTCCTGAGAATACCACAGAAAACAGTGGCTCCCCTATAAGAACAGAGTCGCTTTCCCCTTCAATTCCACCATTTCCTTCCAGTGGGATATCGTTATCACCAAGCAACACAGCTTCGTCATCTCTGACATCCTCCCCATGCTCCTCCCCAGTCATGACAAAGCGGTTGGTTGGAGCGTCAGCCAGCAGTCCCAGCTACCAGTCTTCCTATCAGGTGGGAATCAATCAGCGTTTCCATGCTGCGCGACACAAATTCCAATCCCAAGCTGATCAAGAGCACCAGTCAAGTGGCCTCCAGAGTCCTCCGTCCAGAGACCTGTCCCCCACTCTGGTTGATAATTCAGCTGCAAAGCAACATGCCCGCAATACAGTCACTCAGGTTCTCTCCAGGTTCACCAGCCAGCAGGGTTCTATTAAGCCAGTCTCTCCTAATAGCTCACCCTTTGGCACAGACTATCGAAACCTGGCCAATGCAATGAGTCCCAAAAGTGAATCTAGCCCAGGCAAAATCTCCAGCCCATTAAGTCCGTTGTCTCCTGGAATTAAATCGCCGACCATACCCAGAGCTGAAAGAGGGAATCCTCCACCAATTCCTCCAAAGAAACCTGGTCTGGCTCCTTCTCCAGTCATTCCCACCCCACCAACCAAAACCTCTCAAGCTACTTCTCTGGGCTCTCCTGTTGATTTGGCAAGTAGCTGCTCCAGCAATGCTGTTGTAACCAATGGGAAAGAAATAGAGATCTTACTGCCAACAAATAGCTAGTATCCAGAGTCACATTCCAAGTGTTTACCATTCTTGGAGCTGAAGCACTGTTTTATCCACTCCATGTTATTTATTTGGTTAGTAGTATTTAGTGTACTTTTCTTTTGTTTCCCCCCCCCCCCCCCCCATGATTATTAATATGACTTGTATATTCTAGAGCCTCTCGGTGTCACATAGCAGCAGACATACCAAGTAAAAAGAAGCAGTTGATTTCCTACACTGGTAGCTGACCAGTGGACTATGACAACAAAAAACAGTCATTTTAAAATTATGCAGAAAAACATGCCATGCAAATTTCCATTCCAGACAAACATTTTCTAAGAAGTGCCTGAGCTAAAGCCTGCAGATATGAATGTGATCCTCTGCAAGCCAGAAGGGATTGTCCAGCTGCAGAAAGCACAGTTTTTCTGAGTCATGAATGTTGAAATCAATACTGTTGTTCCTTTCCAGTAGTTTTGTTAACAATATGCTACAGAAAGGAAATGTTCCAAAGGTGATCAGTCAGTTGTTTCCCTGCTATGAACAAAGTGAGTTAATGTAGCTGCATTGTCAGGTGCACTTTGGCCCCCATTGCCAAGCTTTATGCAGCCCATACTTTCCTGAGATATAACCTTTAAAAAAACTTTGGAAGCTTTAAACAATTAGGGTGTCATTTTTTTCAGTAAGTATCCATTCTTTGAATATATTCTTTCAGTTTAGGTAAAATAGGTAAGCTGAAGTGCTGAAAAAGTGGGTTGGGTTTTTAATATGCCTCATGCATTCTACTGTTGTATTTAGAACTTCTGAGAGCAGGATCTTTGCTGTTAGTTGACAAAGATCTTAATATTACTTGAACTTATAAATGTTATTCAATTCGATACAGGTCTTTGCATTAGAAATATTGGATCGACTCTGGATGATCCAAAGCAATAACATAAGTGTTGCTCGATATACAACTACATTGTATGTCAAGCTGACATAGGTTTTGATGATTAGGTTGGATGTTTGTAGAAGACAGCTGTCCTCCTGGCAGCATTGTGGAAACCAAATTGTTGAGTTTTTGCCATAGAGAGGTTCATATATGTATGTGTGTGTATAAAGAGAAAGGGGCATGCATGTTATGCACCCAGTCCGTTGAGTCTTAGTGTGGTTATATTATTGAGGGTCTCCAGATCTTGTGAAGAAATTGAGAAAATGACACTTACAAAGCTGCTCCTTCAGCTTTATCCACTTTATTTTTGAAAATCTTTGTCCAAGGAAAGAGAAGATCGCTAGGCCAATAAAAAGGCGAAAGCATTTCCTTCCTAATGGACTTCCATTCTCTACATCTGGCCCTCTCTGTGAACCAACAGTTCTGTAACCTGTTCATGTCAGAAATTTATGCTATAGGCTGCTTTACTCTAAGATACTACAAAAGGGTGTGCTCAAGGTCAGGAATATGTTGATTGTCTGCCAACTGACTTTGAGTAAAAGTGTATGTCAGTATCTACAGAAACAGATGCTTCCACTGTCATATTCTGTATTTCCTGGACCAGAAGATCTGAAATCATGCTGAGATACCGGATTAGATTGGGGAACATGTCAGCCTCTGGATAATGTTGGACACTAGTTTCTGTCAACCCCAGTCATCATGGCTCCTGCTGGGAATTGCAATGCAGCATCATCTGGAGAACAACATGTTTCCATTCCTACACTAGACCAAAGCTATTGAATACTTCTTTCAAAAAATGTGCTGTATATGGGATAGCTAGTAGTCTCCGTTTCCTAATGTTTTTATAGAAATGCTAGACAAGTATTTGAGCAAATGGCTAATATTTCTGTGACTGCTATTTTCAAACACACAGATATGTATTTGTTCAGTATACTGTGTTTCCCTTTGGCCTTTATATTAACAATACTTGATCATTACTTATAGGAAGATAGGAAACAACTGCAATAAGCACATAAACCATTTAGTTGTGAAGTACAGGTTTTTCAGAAAGGGTTGCACAACTAAAAAATAATTGAATGATTTCTTGTCAGTTTTGCTCCTAATCTTAAAGGGAAAGTATTGTAGCAGCTCTTTAAAAGTATTCCCTTGGTGTTTACACTAATTTGTATCCTTTATGATATAACTCTATAGAGATTTATATACAATTATGAATTTTAATAGGAAATGCACTGAGTACTGTATTCTGCAATGGATTGTAGGAAAAAAAGAATGCAAAAGGAGATGTGTATTTTTGCTAGTAGTCTATCTTCTGAGATTAAAGTAAGCACAACGTCAAAAGTGGTTCCAGCTAATAAAGTGAGACTTCTAGGGTTAGTATTTAAGTTTTCTGTAGACTTATGTATATAGGAATAAAATGTTTAATCTTCTTTTGATCATGTATTGCTAGAAAGGTTTGCCACTGGCTTAACAGGATTTTAATGAAGTTCAAACTGCATAATCTAGTATTAATTTTCATTAACATTTGTATATTTGTAAAGTCAAATGTATGGAACAGAAGTCTTTTTTATCATTTTTATAGCTGGCAGCATTAAACATGTTAAACATTCATACTATCAATAAAGGTTTTTATTTTTATGATTTGAATCCTGTGTAAGAATCTGTTTAAAATGTAGGTTGGACTGCTTTCATGCCTAAAGATTTTAATGAACTAACATGGAACATTTAATAGCAACATGTAGACATGCCACTAGCTTTTATTGGTCTCATCAAAAGGAGAATCATTCAACTCTCCAGATGTTGATTAATGACTATTCACAGAATCCCTTTTAATTGGCCCTTATTATTGGCTGATGGGAATTAGAGTCCATCAGAAGTTCTCTAGATGTAGTCAACAGCAGAAAAAATGAAATACAAAGATACCGAATGGGGGACGCCTGGCTTGACAGCAGTACATGTTAAAAAGATCTTGGAGTCCTCATGGAGAACAAGTTAAAGCACGAGCCAACAATGTCATAAGGTGGCCCAAAAATTTTTGGCCTGCATAATTAGAAGTATATTGTCTAGATCCAGGGAAGTCATGCTATCCCTCTATTCTGCCTTGGTCAGACCACATCTGGAATACTGTGTCCAATTCTGAGCACCACAATCGAAGGGAAATGTTGACATGTGTCCAGAGAAGAGCAACTAAAATGATCAAGGGTCTGGAAAACAAGCCCTATGAGAAGCAGCTTAAAGAGCTGGGCATGTTTAGCCTGCAGAAGAGAATGCTGAGAGGAGACATGATGGCCATGTATAAATATGTGATGTATAAATATAGGAGTGAGCAAGCTTGTTTTCTGCTGCCCTGCAGACTAGGACATGGAACAATAGCTTCAAACTTGAGGAAAGGAGATTCCACCTGAACATTAGGAAGAACTTCCTAACTGAGAGCTGTTCAGCAGTGGAACTCTGCCCCAGAGTGTGGTGGAGGCTCCTCCTTTGGAGACTTCTAAAACAGGCATCAGTTGGGGATGCTTTGAATGCAATTTTCCTGCTTGGCAGGGGGTTGGACTGGATGGCCCATGAGGTTTCTTCCAACTCTATGATTCTATAGGCAAATGCTCAAACCATTGATAATATTAATATCAATAGCAAAGCTATTAATACTTTGGAACATTTCTGTGAATATTTGCCCAGCTCTGTTTCGGTTCTCGAAAGCTTAACAGTCCATTCTTAAGAATTCACTAAGGTGGAGTATATCTGCATCAATGCCACTCTAATCACATAGCATAATATGGTGATTGTATCTTGATTACTGTCTTCCAACAACCTTTAAACGCACAGCTACATCCTTTCATTTCTGCTGCATTTTGTAGTGTATTATCTATAGCAATCTGGGATAGTGAACTCGATTGCTGCTTGAATTATTCTTTGACTTTAAAAATGAACTTGTTTATTTGCTAGTAAGGAGTGTTCATTGGGTGTTTCTTGAAGTTGGTGTAGTTTGACTGCTACTTGGGTGTATCTTTAAGCAGCAAATGAGTTTATAAGCAAGTTTACTGCTTTGGGTGCCAGGATGTGGCTTGGAATACTTGGCCAACTTGTGCAGCAACCAGTTTCTTGGGATGAAGACAGATTTACCTTGCTGCAGAGCCCTCACCCCAGTCTGGAATGTTGCTGCACATACTTTACAACATCAAAAAGCTTCATAAGTTTCCACCCATTTCTAACATGTTGTAAGTAGCGAACATATTAATCTCAACTGTGGCAATCTACTTAACCCAGCCCTTTCTAAGGCTGCAATTATTGGGAGCCAACAGCAGCCTTGTAAATAGATTTTAGCAGTTTCATTGCTTTCAAAAGTTTTCTTTCATGGAGAACATACAATGGTTGTTTTTGTTTTGCTTTGTTTTGGGCCACTGGTAACAGCTTGGATGGACAGAGGATAGTGAAGCAAAGTTAGTATAAAGCCATCTTTGTTTCTCACAAAAGAAGATCAATGCCCCACAGCTACATGAGATAACTGGAGAATATGATATAGATTTCTTTTTCTTAGGAAACAGCAGCTTTCTGCCTGTTAAGAAAAACATTAATTGCAATATGATCCTGCTGTACTAGCCACATGAATAGATGCCTAGTTTTTAAAAAAACTTCCTATATCTTACGTTTGTTTCTCCAGGTTAATTTGGCTTCCTGAAACAGGAAAGCTGGTGGTAGCATATCTGGATTAGAGGGCTGTTTCATATGAGGTTCCTTCCTTCCTCCCAGTTGCATTTATTCTAGGATCAGTGCACAGATAGTACTCAGTTCCACTTAGATAAGGTCTCTGTCCCTTTAACAACTTCTAGTCCAAGTGTATCCTAAAATAACTCTTTTCTGCCACCTTGTGTTGAAAATAAGAAAACAAGACACAGGTTTTACAGTAATAATAATAAATAATAATAAACTTTATATCCTGCCAACATCTCCCCAAACAATACGAACCTCATACGCAAGTATTGTTGGGGAACACATGCACTTCGTTAAGTAAGCTCTGTTTGTATGGAATGGGTCGGGTGGGGGGGGGGGGGCTGTAATAGCCTTTCTTCCAGTGCCTCCACACTTCAGTACTTTGTTAAGTCTTAAGTTAGTTTTCAAGCTTTACTTCCTATTCCCTGAACATTCCCAGTTTACCTTTCCAAACATATCTCCCTCTATGAGCCACCAAGGATGTTAAGATGCTTGCTTATTATTGTTATGTTGTTTTATGCTGTTTCAATTTGTTATAGTTTTGTTTTTAATTGTATTTTGCCTTGGGCTTGGCCCCATGTAAGCCGCCCCGAGTCCCTTTGGGAGATGGAGGCAGGGTAGAAAAATAAAGTTCCTCTCCTCCCCCTCCTCTTCCTCTTCCTCCTCCTCCTCCTCCTCCTCCTCTTCTTCTTTCTTTTTGACATATTTTTAGATCACGGAAAAACCCTTCTTTAACAGGAAGTGACTGAGCCACCTAAAAAAATAATGCCCCCAACACTCCTAGAGGACATTGGYGGYTGACTGGGGGCATTTGGAAACATCTTTTTGACTCTGAGAGCCACAAAAACAGTCCTGGGAAGGGTCTCTCTGCCCACCTCTGATCAAAGATTTCTTTCCCCTTCCTTACATCCATTCTGAAACTTCACATATTGTTTTCCTGTTTAGTGGCATTTCTATATGATTTCTAATTTTTGTACAAATTGTCCCCAAAACAACGGACAAATGAAGACATYGGGACTAATTGAAATATGAATTTAGGTGCGTAATACATGGGTTGTCACAGAATGAGGTGCCTTGGTGACACAAAGAAGCTCAAATTACCTCCTTCATTGGGGAGCTAACAAGCAAATAATGAAGTGGGGGTTGTGAAGACAGAAAAATGATAGTGGGGTTTGTGTTTCTTATGGGGTTTTTGAAAGATTGGCAAGCTGGCTATCTTAGCTTTTTAACAGCTTACAGCCTCTGCTTTCTATGACCCATGATTTAGCCTGCAAATTACAGCCCTTAAGCTACAATTATGGGATATTGCTCTATAGAAGGCTTTGACCCCTGTTGAAGATTTTCTGAGCCAAAAGAAGTATAGCTTACTGAAAGTGAATTTACAGTGATGTACACTGATCTAGTTCATCCCTGGCAATTGTGGTTTGGAATATCCTACCAGAATATTAATTGAAATAAGCCATCCCTAAAGCACAGGTTGTAAAAATCAGCTTTTCCTGCACTTTTCCATAGCATCGGCACTAGAGGGCAACATTTCCACAATTTTATAAACTGGAAATCTTTACAAAGAACTCCAAAATCCAAAAAATAGTTATACTTTTATTTGGCAACCCAATTGCACAAAATAAATTATGAAAGTTTTTGAAGTTTCAGTGGCTTCTTAATCAGCAAAGGTCTGGAGAACAAGCCCTATGAGGAGCGACTTAAAGAGCAGGTCAAATTTAGCCTCCAGAAGAGAAGAGTGAGAGGAGATATGATAGCCATGTATAAATATGTGAGGGGAAGTCATAGGGAGGGGGAGCAGGCTTGTTTTCTGCTGCCCTGGAAACTAAGATGTAGAACAATAACTTCTAACTACAGGAAAGGAGATTCCACCTGAACATTAGGAAGAACTTCCTAAGTGTGAGAGCTGTTCAGCAGTGGAACTCTCTGCCCCAGACTGGTAGAGGCTCCTTCTTTGGAGGCATTTAAACAGGGGCTTGATGGCCATCTGTTGGGGGTCTTCTGAATGTGATTTTCCTGCTTCTTGGTTGGGAGTGGACTGGATGGCCCACGAGGTCTCTTCCAACTCGATGCTATGATTCTAAATATATTCAAAGACATATAGGAAAGAAAAGTGACTATGTTAGGGTTACAGGCCCATGCTTTTTGTCAGATATTACTGTCAATTAAGATGGTCTGGAAGGATCTCAACTCCCCTTTTTGGCCATGTAGGGACTAAAGACAAGGGGCAAAAGAAGAGAGAATAAAATGTCAACACCATTAGCAATTAGCATTTGTTTTTTCTTTGTTTCGTTTTGTTTTGTTTTTGTGTCAGGAGAAACTCGAGAAACTGCAAGTCGCTTCTGGTAAGAGAATTGGCCATCTGCAAGGACGCTGCCCAGGGGACACCCAGATGTTTTTATATTTTTACCATCCTTGTGGGAGGATTCTCTCATATCCCCGCATGGAGAGCTGGAACTGACAAAGAGAGCTCATCCATGCTCTCTCCAGATTCGAACCTGCGACCTGTCGGTCTTCAGTTCTGCCGGCACATGGGTTTAATCCACTGCGCCACCAGGGCTCCAGCTTTTGTTTATTTGGGTTGACTAAGAAACGTATTGCTGTTTTTGTAGGTTTGCACTTGGTTTTATTTTATTGCATGGCAAATCCAGTCAAACCAAATATGCTTCCAGGAAACACTTTTATTAAGAAAAAAAATTCAGGTAAGTTTTCAACTTCAGATCTCCTACCCAGGAAGGATGTTAATCCTCAAAGTGGGGATGAGAGGGAACAGAAGGAGAAAATACTAACTTGAGATTCAGCTCATGAATTTCATGGTTAAAGTGTTAAGGAGAGATGGAGGGGAAGATGCAGATTTTGAATGTATTAATGCTTTATTAAATATCATGCAGCTTTCAGGTTTCACCACAGGCTAAATAAAACACTTCACAGAA